TGATCAGTCAGAGAGAATTATCGTCACTCTGTCTGAGGAACGAGATCCCATAAATAAGATTGATCGGTTCATTTCTCTCCCGGTTTATGAGAGGCCATATTTCATACACATATCGCATGACAGGGATTGAGGTTTCCAGTTCTATAACAATATTTTCAAATATGGAATATGTGAGATCCAATTCCAGTGGATGATAAATCATAAAGACAACACTGAATAAAACCTGGAACTAATTCTCTCTGTTACAATATGAGGGTATACTCATGTTTTTCCAGTGCCATCTTGTGCGTTCAGTCTGTCCAATCAAAGTTTCTGTCCACAGGGAGAGGCAGATAGCGCTGACACAGACGTTTGGCTTGCTGGTCAGTAACATCTACAAACTTGCTGAAAGACTAATGATTGCTTCTGTGCTCCACCGTCTCTGGGACAAACCACTCCACACAAGCATTCGGCCAGTTTTTGTTCTGCTTGCATCTGTTTGGCTGACAATGACTCAGGCTGCATTTACACTGCAAATCTTAATGCACAGATCCGATCTTTTGACCATATCTGATTTTTTGACCCGTCTGATTACATTCAATTTTAGACATGACTGGTATCTGATATCTGTGTTTACATAATTCTCGCCCAAAATGATAGTCAATGATCGCTTTACCATGCACATGGTAGACCCTCTGGTTTTGGATGGCCGTGCTATTAAAATTATTTATATAATACATCATTATTATTTGCCAGCATGGACAACAGCTGTCATGGATGTTTTGCAGCACAAAATCTGACTGAACGGATAAATAACGGAAAATAACGGTAATTTTCATTTGTTAGGCTATTTTATCTACAGCTCGTTAGAGGTGGAATTCTTTACTGAAATAAAGTAGCACCAAGATGATATTTATTTAAATGAATTTGAATGAATTAACAAGAGAGAGAGAGAGAGCACGTGAAGCTTGTGAACAAGTGAAAGTTATCACGTCATTGCTAAGAAATATAATGTAGCTTTAGCGAAATTTCTTACCTAGCCTACATAAAGTTGCACGTCTGACAAATGTGTCGACCTCACATTGGGAGTTCCGCGGGGATTCAGATATGTGTGTTTAGACTTAGGTCAGATGTCCGGATATCGGATATATGTATCCGATTAAAATCAACATTTGGAAGTGGCTCAGATCGGATGTGAAAAAATCGGATCTCGTGCAGACTTTTGTGATTCCATGTGTGCAAAAAATTCAGATCTGTATCAAATGTGAGCAAAATATCAGATTTGTTGTGCCAGTGTAAATGCAGCCTTAGAGACCTGCATGCCCATTCTTTTTTTTCCGGTGGATTTGGTATAAACAACTTCGAAAGATAACAATTGTGAGAAAAAATCAGATTTGTGAGATAAAAATTAATGCAATTAATAAAGTCTGAATTCTGAGTTTGTGTTTATCTCACATTGAAATGTGAGAGAAAAAGTCGCAGTTACCTTTTTTATTTTTTATTCCATGGCAGATGCATGCACCCTTAGGTTCTTACTCAAAAGTCTTAGATGAGTTTAAACAAATGTAATGAACAAGAAGTACTTACGAGCTAGTTCTTAACTCAAAAAAGACTCACAAATCAGTCTCAAACTCATGATGTATCGCTCTGAATCTGGTCGCTGCAAGTAAACTCTTCCACTCATAAAAAAGCACGACATGGTATAAATCTGAAAGTTTACTGTGACAATCCTTTGCTTTGGTGTCATGAAAAATTGGAAGAAAAAGAATGTTTAAAACCAGCATTTAAAACAACATCTTCACTCTGGAACAACAGAAACAATCCTGTTCCTGTTTTACAGTATATTGTGTTCTGCAAACTGTTGGGCAGCTTCCTCAAAAACTGATAATGGATTGGAATCAAGTGATGTTAGAAGCTGTGGAACTTCCAGACGGCGTTGTAAACACAGTTTGGGGAAATCTTGTGTAAATTAAAAACAATAATAATAAAAATAAGTTCATATGTATTATTAAACACATTATTAGTGTCTTTATTATATTACTGTATCGTGGTTTCCACAAAAATGTTAAGCAGCACTGTTTTCAACATTGACAATAATCAGAAATGTTTCTTTGAGCAGCTAATCAGTATATTAGAATGATTTCTGAAGGATCATGTGACACTGAAGACTGGAGTAATGATGCTGAAAATTCAGCTTTAAGCACAGGAATAAATTACATTTTACAATATATTCACATAGAAAACAGTTATTTTAAATGGTAATGATATTTCACTATATTACTTATTTTACTGATCAAATAAATGCTGCCTTGGTGAGCAGAAGAGACTTCTTTCGAAACCATTAAACAAAATCTTACTAACCCCAAACATATATACAGGTGCATCTCAATAAATTAGAATGTCGTGGAAAAGTTAATTTATTTCAGTAATTCAACTCAAATTGTGAAACTCGTGTATTAAATAAATTCAATGCACACAGACTGAAGTAGTTTAAGTCGGGATCATCACATCATCTTATTTGGCAGTCCTTGGCATTAAAAAAAATATATATAATTCAGTACCATCCTATAGTAAACATATCATACAGCACCAGCAACAAAATAATTGTCCGTATTTGGTAAGTAACAATTAGCTATTACATTGAAATATTGCTCCAAAACAGGACAATCTGCTTTGCTTTCAATAAATTCCCATTCTTTGGTTCTCCTAGAAAACTGATTTCTTGTAGTGGCTGACATGACAGCTTCACTGAAACTGTAATTTGGACAGAAAACATCTAAAGTCTGTTTTCTGAATAAAGCGGATCGAGTTGCGCAGTTCACTGGGTGCAACTGCTTACATTTCATCAATCTGTCATTCATCCTCTTCTGTGCGTTCGAAAGCTCGACCGCATTGGCCACCGCATGAATGGCAGACATATGCACAAGTGTTGACGTTCTGGCTACATGTCAACACACACTGACTGAACGAAAGACTAAACATGGCTGCCTTTCATTAGAGTGACATCATGACGTGTTTCTTTTTGGATAGATGGGTTTATTTTATAACACGTACAGTAGAGCATCCAGATGGTCTCTTTCAGGTCCAGCTGCATAAACGCTGTGCTCCCCACCTTGCCTCTCGATTTGTTGGAAATGACAAACGGATTCCCGCGAGGTGGCATTAAATGTACAAGAAAAAGAATCAACTGGTTTCTTGGAGCTCTTTTGATTCGAAGAGCTCTTTCAAATCTACGGTTGTAAACTGCGAAGGAGACTGGGTCTAAAAACATCAGCTGGGGTGATGCATTCACTGGACGAGGAATAGTGGGTGGTGTTAGGTGATTTAGGGTTTTTAAGAGCTGTTATCACCCCCAACCCCCCTGCCGCCCGGTGGAGGACAACAGCTGGCGAGATCTGGTGCCAATCCTCCACTCCAGCACTGAGCCGAACAGGGCGTCTTTCTCTAGCAGCTATTCTACCCATGCCAGCGGCAGAATCAGGCTTTGTTGGAGCTCTGCATCGGATCTAATGACCCAGCACTAACTGCCATCAGCTGAGTTTGCCATTGAGACAGAGGACTGCATTCAAAGATGAAGCCGATTAGAAAAGAGTCGCTTTGTTTCTAGATGAGGTCAAAGCCATTGATACTGGACTCTGTAATCACTTCACGGTTTGTTGACTCAAAGGTCACCTAATGCTCTCAGACGATAACATTAAAACCCAATAGAAAAGAAGAATCACCAACGAGATCTCTTTAATGCCTTAATTGTTTTGTCTAGACCACAATGAGGTTACATGGAGAGCAAATTGAGACTTCTGCTTAAGACTCATGCATCTCAGATTTTTCTCCAAACAGATCTCAACGATGACACAAATCAAGAATCAAAAGTAAAAGATCTCAATGTGAACTCAAACACTTCATCAAACAATGTGACAATAATTATGTATATTGTTATTGCTGATACCTGATGAATTATTTACTATTTTGTCTAAATAAATTTGAAATAAATCACTGAAAGCTAAGATCAATGAAAAAGCATATTATTTACAGATCACATTTAATAACATTATTAAATTCTTAGTGTTTTTACAAATGTAATATAAAACATTTTAGATAAACATTAAATCTAAATGTAAAACAGGTGATATCTGCTGATATATGTAATAAATATATATGTATGTGATATTTAGATATTTAGTTACATATTTAGAAAAAAAACAATGCAAACATTTTACAAAATAATAAAAATGAAGCACTATATAGGACTAAAAAAAGCACAAAATGTCCCAATTGACCTAAACCCACCCCATATATATATATCCACCCCAGTATACTGTATATATATCTAATACATGTAACTTATACATATGCTATGCATTACAGGTAAAGTTGTAAATAATATTTGTCTTTCTTGCGCAGACTGATCATTTCACTTCATAAGATCTCAATAAGGGCAATGGGTATTAATTTTGTGTTGCCAGTATATGTTTTTTTGACTCTCAAAGTGACGGTATCGGTTGACATGCATTTTATGAATCATCAAGGACCACGGTTTCAGTCAAAAATCTTATTTACTGTTCAACGGAAGAAAAAAAGTCATCTACATCTTGGATAGTCTGAGGGTGAGTAACTAGGGCTGCACGATTAATCGAATGCGATTGTCATGCGCATTTTGATAGTAATGCCGGTTCTGTAATCAGCAGTAAATCATCATCACGTACTTTCAGATGAAGCAGTATTTACTACACATAGTCGTAGTTCACTGACAAGTTACGCAAAAAAATGAGTAACAGTAACGTTTTATCTTTGTGTGAAAAATAATTGAGAACTCCATTAAGTCTCCTGAGCTATGAAAGCGCAATACCTCTGAGCAATAGAAGTTACTTTCAGGACAGTACATTTAAGTAATGCTTATTCATTAGATAATTTATGCCTGTGTTGCCAGGATTTAGAGGATGGAATGTCAGGAATCATGGGAGATTAATAACAAGGTTTCCATACCATCAGATGTATGTGTGTCTGTGTGTGGCATCACTAACCTCCTGGCACTTTGAGCATGCTCTGTGAGGTGTGCGTGATGGGGGAGTGAAAGCAACGGTTTGAAGTTAAAAATGTCTGGATGGATTTGTTTCTTACAAACATGCAGCTCTTCGCTTCAGAAGACATTAACTGATGGACTGGAGTGGTGTGGATTACTTGTGGATTATTGTGATGTTTTTATCAGCTGTTTGGACTCTCATTCTGACGGCACCCATTCACTGCAGAGGATCCATTGCTGAGCAAGTGAAGCAATGCTACATTTCTCCAAATCTGTTCTGATGAAGAAACAAACTCATCTACATTTTAGATGGCCTGAGAGTGAATACATTTTCAGCAAATTATCATTTTTCAGTGAACAATTCTTTGAATGTATTATTTTTTCTTTTGCATAACATCAAACCTTACAACATTTAAGGTTCTTAACTTGTGAGATTAAGAATCTTGTGTAATAAAATAAATAAAACGGAACAAGATTAATTTTGTGAAATTGATTTGGTGAAAGTGAACCATCAGAAAAGATCATTTAAAGTAAGAGGAGTGAGTCTGGCCATGTTGCCGGGCTCAATGAACTAGGTCCGGCTTAAGGAGAAGCTCTGTGGAGGGGCATACCTGCTTTATTAAATGTAAATAACCCTTTGTGAAAGGTTGATGTCATCTGAGGAATGTCTGCTCCCTTACTGGGAATTATGGGAAACGGCAAGCTCACATTTGTCCAATTAAACCTGTCTGAACTTGTTTGTATAACGGTGACGTTGACATGTCATTTCCTTCTTCTGGCAAAGACAGCCACGTGGGTCAGATCAAGAAAGAAGCTGGGGATTATTCCCTCCTCCTCCTTCATACAATAAAGTCAGCTGAGGAGGAGGGGAGGCTTGTATGTGAGTCTGAGGGGGGTTTGGAAGAACACTGTGATCTGTTTGATGGAGAGGATATTGAAAGGGTCCAGCAAAGCGTATGTGGTGATACTGTAACCTCATAAAGCAGATTACTGAGCCTGTGGTGCTGCTGGAGAGGTTAATTAAGGTTCAGAATGGGATGACAGGGACACAGTTCTCACGATTTACATCGCTAATCTGACTCCATTCTCTAGAGAAGATTCCTGAAAAGCAGTGGATTGTTAGTGCTACCCACAATGCACTGGGAACGCTCAAATTCTTAAACTTAACTGAAATAACATTTGTTTCAGTATTCCTTTTTCTCTTAAAAGTGAAGCTTGCTTTCTGCTTCTGTTTTCAGTTCTACAGTCCAAGATGACTTAAAATTTTCACAACACATTTTACAAATGTTTGTTTAATGTAAACACACTACAGTTTAAAGGTTTGGTGCAGGGATGCATTACATTGATCAAAAGCATCACATTCCAATTAATCAAATTCTGTTCTTTTGAACTTTCTCTTCATCAAAGAATCTTGAAAAAACAAAATAATATTTTTGTGGAAACTGATTTTTCAGTTCAATAATACAACATGTTTTTTGAGCAGTAAATCAGCATATTAGAATGATTTCTGAAGGATCATGTTACCCTGAAGAATGGAGTGATGATGCTGAAAATTCAGCTTTGATCACAGAAATAAGTATATTAAAATGGAAAATATTTAAGTATATTAAAATGGAAAACAGTTATAATATTCCACAATATTACTGTTTTTATTGTACTTTGATCAAATAAATGCAGCCTTGTTCAGCATAAAAAAAACCATACCGACCCCAAAATGTTTTATTGTATTACATATATTTTCAATATTTCATCAGCTTAAAGATTAACATTTTGAACTTTAACTGTACTGTACCTCAATTTGCAACAAATTATTTGTGTTTGAGTCAACATAAGAATGAATAAGTGCTTTATTTTTTTTTGTGTCGGACATAACTAGTGTCTATAATGACATTCAAAATGAATACAGACACTGTGGCCCATCTGTACTGTAATAATGTGGTAAATGTTTTTCACAATGCCAAGAAACTGTGATTTTAGGTAGCCAGAATGGCTGAAACGAAACCCGAAAGCAGTGTGGTCTTCAACAAATCCTAACCAACACAAACACACATTCACACACAGTGGACTGAACCCATAACTCTACATGGGAGTTCAACTTTGAGAATGAAACCAGAGACTCCCTGAAGACTTCTTGGCCAGGGAAGAGTCACATCTTTGTGTGGGATAAACTGTGTCGTCTGTGTTCTGTGGTGATAGATTTCAGATGAGTATCGACTGAGTCAGTGTGCGCTCTCTCACTCTAAAGCGGTTAGCGGTTTGTAACACATTCGTCCCCATTAGCAGTAAGTACTGTGTGCTCAGGCTAGACTGATCCAGTATTGTGTGTCACAAATTGGCCAACTGATGCAACAAACCTTGAAGAAGAAACACAGACTGGGCGAGCAATATTTCTATCCAATTAAAGTGAATTACCACGATGGCGGAGTTTCGTCGGGAGCCAATGGGAGTTGTTGGCAGGGAGTTGAGGGAGGAGCCTGCGTTGAACTCCTCTGAGCTGAGGTTGTCTGAACCATCACTCAAACCGCTGCTGATGGAGCTGCTTTCATCCCAACTGCAAAGAAAACGCGAGAAATACCATCACTGCCCTGATCCAGGTCATAATTAGTTCATAATGAATTATTCATTTTGTATGTAAAGCAGTCAAATGAATAGCTATAAAGGAACATATTTTTGAAAACATGTTTTTTTCTTTCACTTTTAGAAGAAATACTATGTACTACATTGACCTACTCTAACGCAACACTCAGCAGTCAATCCAGACTATTTATGAAAACTAAAGTGCAAAAATAAGTCATTATGATAATGACAATGATCATAATAATGAGCACATTACCATGAGTGTGCACATACGCATATCATTAAGTATTTAGTATTTGACTAATTAGTATTCAGCAGCTCTGGTCCACCCTGATGATCAACAATGTGAACTTCATATCTACAAACATGGTAGCCAATCATAACAGGTCATTTACATAGAGGTCTTAAAGGTTTAGTGGCAAAACAGACAGGATAATTCTAAGATTAAACAGAGGATGGAAAATTGTCATAAACTCTATTTTATGTCTGGTTTTGTTGCAATTTATCTTAATTACCCTTATAAGTGGGCTTCAGGGAAAGATTATATGAATAAGAATGCATTATTAACAAGACAAACCTGATTCAGGCATGTCATTCTTACACGGATACATTTCAATTATGTTTACATGCACATAACTATCTTATGTTAATCAGAATTTGGTAATTTTCTGATTATGTATGCATCATATAAACACAATAACCCAATAATGTGATTAAGACAATATTCAAACTTCCAGAAATCAGAATAAGACAGCTGGTATATGCCTGTATTAATCTGAAATCTTTGTCACGTAAACGTCTTATTCACAATATCTATTGTAACTAGAATATTCATTTTTATCTGCGCACATCCAAATTTAAAGGATAGGTTTTATTAAGTTCTCAGAAGGCATGCAATAGAAGCGACACATTTTTAAAGAAAGGACTGGTTATGATTTTGCATACCTGTACATTAAAATAAAGACAGCTGAATTTTCTAATTGTGAACAGCCATTTTGGGAATAAAGGCCTTAATCTGAATATAAAGTGAATATAATGTGTGCACACGTTGTCAGTGACACCACCTGCTATGAGCACAGAATATAGATGATCTATGCCTATTATTTTTTACATTCAACAGCAGGATTTCAAAGTAACTTTCAATGTTTTTCAATCAGAACCTCATTAAAGATTCACAAGCATATCTGATTTTGTCTGGTCCTGGTGTGTCAGGATCATTAAAAAGCAAGTGTTCCAAGATGGAAGGTGACTTTGAGATAAGAACACATCTTGTCGCACAGGACCTGATAAGCCCTGAGAAAGTGATAAGTCCATCCTCACATCACAGAGCATGTATGCTTAAAAAAGACAGCTGAAACATTTCCAATCAGAAGCAACAATTGATAAACTTGTTGTGCCACAAAGGAACCTGACCAGTTCCTAGCAGATAAAATTTGTGTTATGTAACTGTTGCCCTTATCTCAGAATAAAACACACAGTCACAGGGGTTTCTCATCTTTGCGAGGCTGTCTGCTCAACTGTGGAGACCCATGGAATGAAACAGCTGACTCTGGAAAGACATTCCTCTTTCAGCAATATTCCTTTGGAAATTGATTCATTGGATCAATTGAAAACAGCAAAACAAAGCAAAAGCAAAGCAACGCTAAAAAATAAAACAAAACAAAAATAATAAGCAAAACAAAACAAAATAAAACACAAAAAAACTAAACAAAAACAGCAAAGAAAACAAAACAAAAAAACATAGAAAAGCTAAACAAAGCTAAATAAAATAAAACAATACCAAAAAACAGCAAAGAAAACAAAAAAACATAGCAAAGCAACACAAAACAAAAACGCAAAGCTAAGCAAAGCAAAACAAAACAAAATAAAACAACAAAAAACAGCAGAGAAAACAAAAGAAAAAAACAAAAAGTAAAACAATAAACAGCAAAGCAAAAAAACAAAAAACAAACCAAAAAAAACAAACCAAAACAACAAAAAAGCAGCAAAGAAAAAACAAAGCAAAGCAAAACAAAACAAAACAACAAACAAAGCAAAGCTAACCAAAAAAAGTTAAACAAGTCGAATTATTTCATACAATTCTTCAGTGCCTTTAACAATGGCTTTGATACATCATAATAGCCTTTGAACCTCATCCACAAAACACAATAAAGTTTCCACACTTTCCCTCCATTTCCACCTTCAGTCTCCATTTTCCAAATGCTTTAAATTCCTCAGATGTCCCATTGACACCTAAATACTGGATTAAGTAGCGGCATATTGTGAGGAGTCTGTCATTATAAGATATCCAAGCACATTCAGTAGTTTTGCGATACGGCCAGCCCTAAGGTGAAACACTGACAGTCTCTTTATGAGTGATAATGATCAGGGTTCAAGTTTCAGGGCTGTTTGGAGCACCTCAAGCCTCAAGCTCTGTGATTACGCTCAAAATTCTCGTCTACAGACCTGAGATGACAGCACTCCACTGATAGTTTTAAAGGATGAAAAGCAGTCTCATGTTTAGCTCTGCAGCTGAGAATTTTTGTGTGATGCGACGTCTCATTTGACAGCTGTTTTTTTTGCTTTGATGCCTTGCAAGCATGCCATATATGCGACTTAAAACACTATGATCTTTCTTCAAGCCTGTGAACTCAACAGCTATGATATGTCAGTTGAATCAAAAGCAACATCTCTTCTGTGTGATCTTGATTTATTTCTGAAAGTGTCACTTTAAGTGCACAACATGACAAGCAGAGCCTCCCTGCTGAATTTCTGCCGCAGGTGATGTGGAAAAGGAGGACGAGGAGACCTTGAAAACCACTTCAAACACATGCCATAGACACTATGCGGTTTTCGATAAACCCAGACTAAAACTGTGTTTTTGATGTTCTGTAGAAGGGGAAAATGCAGATAAGCACAGCAACCTTTTGGAGATGCTGCGCTCCCTTGACCAGCCCTGTTTGTCAGTGGACGTGAATTTAGGAATTTTTTATTTTTTAAACAATATGGACTTCATAGGGCTTTACTTCTGGTGGGAAAAAAAACTAATGAGCAGCAGAATCTCTGCAAGATTAGGCTTAACCAGCACTGATAAATACTGTACCATAACACTCTGTGACCTCAGATTAAAGCTTGACCAGCCCTGTTCGTCAGTGGACGTGAATTTAGGAATTTTTTATTTTTTATTTTTTAAACAATATGGACTTCATAGGGCTTTACTTCTGGTGGGAAAAAAAACTAATGAGCAGCAGAATCTCTGCAAGATTAGGCTTAACCAGCACTGATAAATACTGTACCATAACACTCTGTGACCTCAGATTAAAGAATTATACAAAGGCTACTGGAAGCAGAGGATTTAAATTCAGCTTTAAAGATGACATGAAACAACATTCACAACCTATTTTACCTTCATAATATGATGTATTTTTGAGTGAAACAGAATGCTTAATGAGAAAATTAGGGACTAATTAAATCTGCCACTATATTAGACAGATAGGCCTATATAGTGAAGAGTAAAAATAAATTTCCAGAGAGAGAGCATCTAATGGTCAGGACATGTTGCAGTCTGGACTCAAAACTAGATTCCTGCACGAGCAGCAGAGCTCAACATGTCTTACCACAAGCTAACTGCAGCTCTATGGCTCCTACTTTAACTGTAACATCATTTTAGGGCCATATTAAATCAACTTCCACAGTATCCCTTTTCAGCAAGCAAATACAAAGTGCATTCTGTCCATTTTAAAGAAAAAAAAACAAAAGCAAGGAGAAATGCATATGAACAATCATTCTCAAGGCTAAATAAAGAAAGACAGCTAAAATAGACAGACACCACTGAGCTAATTATGCTAGTGCTGTTAGAGCCGTCTTTCTCCAGCTGAAGCACACTCCTCTATCTGTCCTCCCTTCCCAGAACAGGGCTCTCCAAAAACACAATAACATTGTGTGTCAAGGCTGCACCGTAATTGCAGAGAGCCCAAGCCCCGCCAGATAGAAAAAAAAGAACAATTTGAAGATAAAGCGTCCTCCTACCCATCCCCTCCACCCTTAACCAAACATTAACTTTAATTGCATGGATGCAAGGCAAGCAGATAACAGCAATAGTGCATTTCTAAAGAAGGCATCCACCATCCAAGTGCTATTTGGGGGGTTTTAGGGTAGTAAGAATGAGTTTTCTCACGACATCTGTCTGCACATATATCAAACAGAAAAAGTACATAAGAACAACACAAACGAATGACAATGAACAGTCTATACTTGTTTTTGTTTTATATGGTGTACCACAGGGTCATATCTTGGGTCCTCTTATTTTTTTAACAACAAAATTTTTATCCAGGAAGTAGTTGTTAAACCCAAAATAATACAAATTATCCACATACAGTTACCTCTGACTTTGGGCTAGGCGATATATCAAATATTTACATATTTTGTTACAGATAAATTTAACTAACATTAACTAACATACATTTTTACTTTACTAACATTTTACTCTACTAACAAAGTCACTGTGCACGTTTTTTAAATAAGTGAATAAGTCCACAAAGATGTCAAGATATATATCAAATATTACTAAAAGGCTGACAAATATTGTCCAGTCCTGCTTTTGACTCCATGTTTCTTTTACTTTATGCACATACTAGACAGCAACTGCATGTCGCCAGTAGCATATGACCTTTATCTTCAACACATACAGAAGTATATATCAATTGCCTACATGTTCTGCATAATTCGTGCTTTGCCCATCCCAATTTGCCCAGCGTAGCAAAATACTGGAATGCCACATGGCAGGTGGCAGATCCTCTTTCATCAGCACCAACTGGTCACACACAATCCGCAGTGGGAGTGACGGCTCAGAGCGAAAACGACACGCGTGTCCAACACTAAAACCTAAAGAGTATTCTTTATCAATCATCTGGACTTGCACAAAACCAAAAGGACACAAGGCGTTCTAACCACACATGAAAATGTGTTCAAGTAGATTTGAAAATGGATCGCTAT